ATCAGCAAATGGGATTTAATGCGGGGCCACCGCCGCCAGGATATCCAACGGGAAATTATCACAATCCGCCACATGTACCGACACAAGCACCACCACCACCATGTACAAATGAAGTTCCTCAGGCGGCACCTGGTTTTACATCTCACGAGTTCTTGAGCAGTATGCGTCACTATACCCAACAGCAACAGCAGCAACAACAACATCAGCAGCAGGCGCATGCGCAAACGGATCATAAACCCGATCCCAATTTTTGCCAGCAAAAATATGATCTGTTCAAGGATACTTTTGAGGCAGCTGCTCAGTTGAATACGAATAAAGCAACACCCTCACCTCCAGCTACAGCATCCAACATTAATTGTACAGGATATGCGGGTTATGACACAGCCCACTCACAGCATATCAATGCAAGTCCAACAGCTGCAACATATCCCCCGCAATCAACGAATTTCCATCAAACGAGTAGTTATTTCAATCAGACGCCACCATGGAAAGATTTCAGCGAACAGGTAATAAATCGGGACCACCTAGGGTTCGTTGTTAGCCCTTTAAACGAAATTATTTTGCAATTGTGAAGTTCGAAAAAAGAGCAGGTTTTATAAACCATCCGAAAAAATAGGCGTGATATATAGCATTTAAGATAGGTTAAGTACAAATAAGTTTGTAGATATTTTACGGATTGCTTCATATCGGAATTTTGAGGGGAATTTGAATCCAAATAAAAAAATATTTTTTTTTTTTGAAAATTCGTGAATAGTGTCAAGTCCAAAAAAAATATTTTTTAATAGAAAAATATTTTTTTCTTGGAATTTTGAAACTAAAGAATTTTATATTTTGTATTAAATTTATTTTTGTAATCTCAAATTCCTCTTAAATAAAAAGATTTTCACGTTTATTCTGATATCAAACAATTCGTTCAATTTATTTTTATTTAAAAATGGCTCGGTTGCATATATTCGAAAAAATTTTTTTTTAATAAATATGCAACCAATCTATTTTTTATTAGCAAGAATATTTAATTCAACTCTCTTTATGATTTGTATATATATTTATATATCAAATCATTTACAGGAGTTGCTGTGAACATTTCCAAAAAATGATCTCTCTAATTTATAAACAATTTTAAATATTATATTTTAAATTAGTGACATCATTTTTAATCATAATTTTTTTAAACAAAAAAGTTTTGAAAATAATGTTTTGCCACTTCAAATTTAAACATTATTTTCAATACTTTTTTTAAATTTGTATTGTAAACTTATATGGATCTCAATAATAGTTTCTCTGTTTTATTTACACCAAACAAGACAAGGTTGTTCACTTACAGACCAAAAAGTACCTTAAATATATTTTTTGTGAATTATTATTAAGTCTATATATATACTATATATTTATATAAAAATCTACTATGAAAATGATATATTTTTATAAAATATTTTTATAGTTATTTAAGATAATATGAAAAAAAGTAAAACAATGTTGATACAATACGAATTTTTGTTACAGAATCAATCAGGTAAACTAAAAGCTAGTCATGTTTGTTCAAAGAATTGTATATTTATTTTATTTAAATAGATTATTTTTTTAAATTGTATTCGCCTAGTTCTAAGACCACCATTGTAAATTGTATTGAAGTGATTTTGATGGAAATAAAGATGAAACTACAACACAACATTTTGAAATATTTATTTTTTCTTGTTATTTGAATTTTGCCATGTAAGGGCAGTGATCATTTCAAAGTAATTTTTAAGTGATTATTTATACTCTTTCGAGTCGAGCTCAATGATCTATGTTTTGCAATGAAAAGGAAATTCGCATATGCAAGTTTCGCATCAGGGCGGAATTAATACAAGTTATCAACATACGACATTTGTAAAGCCACATAGCCCAATATGCCTGATGAGCCGCTTAACCAACGGCGAAACGCGTCGCATAATGGTGGGTACGTAGGTTCTTCTCCTGGCTTTCCTTTTCATTGCAAAACTTAGATAATTAAGCTCGACTCGAAATAGTATAAATAATCACTTAAAAATATTTATTTTTTTATGAAAATTTATAGCATTAATATTGATACTAATCCATGAATGCTCGATGTTTATGATGAAAAAACTGAATTGTAGATTTATTGTACAGTTTATATATCCTTAATGATTAAATTATATATCCTTAAATATATAGAACCTTGATTTCAATGACATTATCAAAAACGGGATATATCGGTCACGGAAAGATTTAAACATCTTCTGGGCATTTGAAAATTTTGGCGGATCCTACACAATCAGGCGGACGTTAAAATCCACAAAATACCGTAAATAAGTACTTTTTAGTGAGACATAATTGCCATCTTCTGAGAACCAATAACAAAAATTAAAGAAAATGTACCAAAAACTCCAAAACTACCCTGAAACATGGGCCACTGTCGATATTTATAGCCTTCACCACAGTGTGGTCAGGGTATTATGTCTTTGTGCATATGTTTGTAACAGGCAAAAATAATCGAGATAGACCCATGGTTCCTTTTGAGAATGTGCATAGAATAACTTTCTGAGTCGATTTATGCATGTGCGTCTGTTTATGCATGTCCGTTGTTAACAAAGTACAGATCGCATTCATTATCCGATTTGGATGAAATTTGGCACAGGTCACTTAATTGGCCCAAGGACGAACCCTATTGAAATTGGGAAAAATCGGTTCAGATTTACATATAGCTCCCATATATATTTTCGTCCGATTTAAGGAAAATGGTGTACCACGGTCCCTATATATCATTTGATTTGTACGACATTTGGCATAGAGTACTGAATTAGGTCCAGAATGATGTGTGCCAAGTTTCGAGAAAATCGGTTCGGATTTAGATATAGCTCCCATATATAGTTTCCTCCGATTTAAGGTAAATGGTGCACCAAAGACCCTATATATCTTTCGATTTGCACGAAATTTGGCATAGAGTACTAAATTGGGTCCAGAATGATGTGTGCTAAGTTTCGAGAAAATCAGGTCAGATTTAGATACAGCTCACATGTATAGTTTCCTCCGATTAAAGTAAATGGTGCACCAAAGTCCCTAAATATCTTTCGATTTGCACGAAATTTGGCATAGAGTACCGAATTAAGTCGAGAATGATGTGTGCTAAGTTTCGAGAAAATCGGGTCAGATTTATATATAGCTTCCATATATATTTTCGCCCGATCTGAGGCAAAGTGCCTATATATCTTTCGATTTGCACGAAATTTGGCATAGGGTACTGAATTAGGTCCATTCATGTGTCAAGTTTTATTGAAATTGATATACCTTCTATATATGGGCAATATGCCAATTTTTTAACATAGCTGAAGCGGAGGTTCACCCCTTTATAACTCGGGAACTACTTAAGTATATGAAAAAAAGTGAATAGTTTTGGATTGCAAACTGTTCATGATATTGACCTCCAAACTTTATTTTGGTGGAAGCTGTGTCTACTTTAATGTAAAAAAATGTGTAAAAACAGGTTGAGGCAAACCAGTGTTTTTATGTTCTCTATCGATTTGTGACTAAGCCACTCATTGCACGGCCTTCGTGTCAAAATAAAACTAGAAGCCAACAAAATGGGGACTACAACCCCTTTGTATCATTTTTCAAAATTTTAATTGCATCTACCTTTAAATGATGCTGACATTTTGAAGCTCGATTTTGAGTGTTTTTTTAATTTTACTTCTAGCTTTAATAAGCCAACAGGAATTTATAAAAATCGATTATAAGATTATTGTAGTCGCGAATCTGCGTAATTTGATATGTATTTTGTGTATGTAGTATGCACAGCTTCAGAGTAATACTCATCCGAAGGTGCGAATTTTGTGCGATCAAATTTCTAAAAAAACCTATTTTTCGGGCCAAATTTTTAGATCTGTCAACTGAATGATATGGGTACCCGCGATCAATAAGGTTTTTTACGTTTCGGATGATATAAAATCTTTTTCGTGAAAATCCATCTACTAGAACGGCGGGAACTGACCTTCCAAAAACACGAAATTTGGCAAAAATGTTTTTGAAAATATCGGGGATTTATTTGCGTTTTCTGTGTATCATTTCCGCTCATACGGATTTTGATCTTTTTCGAAAAGAGAACTTTAAAAACTTCAGCCGAAAGAGAGATGTACGCAATTTATCTCAAAAATAGATTGTGCTGGCACATCCATGGTTCTTAATGGACCACATTGAAATCGGTAAAGATCGATGTATTTTTTTAGGGTGCACACCGAAATCGGATGCGCGTTAATGGCATATGGAGTTTTCGGAAATTATTCGCGTTTTACGGTTTTTTGAGTACTTCAATGTAACGTGCGGCACATCTTAGCCGTCAAATGAAATTTCGCAAAATATATATGGATTGGAAGATAAACTTCAGTACTTCCTGGAAACCGCATGCGCATCAAATGATTTTGAGAATTACGCGATTTACACGCTATTTAAAATGTATATTTCATAATATTATTTTATTTTAAGATTTATTCCTATTTATAGAATTCTAAGATTTATCGGAAGGGTCTTGATATAATCCGCAAGGCGTATACTTACACACAAAAAGTGATTATTAATACATATGCAAATTTTTCGGCGAAATTCGGGTAAAATAGCAGAATAACCCCAAAATTTTTTTCTGAATTTTCTTGTATAAAAAATTAAAAAAATAAATATGATGACATTATTTTTTCGAACCAAAAACCAATATTTTTCCTCAATATATTGTTTTGTTGTCGCTGTGATTTAGAAACCGCTACACGGACTTGTGTGATTTTGATATCATTTGATTCACCATGGTGTTTAGATTATGTAGATATTTTTAAATTAATTATTAGGTGTGTGTATGTCATTAATATAATGAAAATATTGACGTAATCTCCTATATTTTTATTATTTTTCTCATATTTCGCGAAGATGTACAACTTTTTCGCGATTATTATAATATATTCACATTGTTATTTTACGGAGGAAGATATATATCAACGTTTTTGGTCAATATAATAAACGGCGTAATTTTAAGATTTTTTTCTTATGCCCAAAATTAAAACCTCGATAACTTTTGCGCGCATCAACCAAAAATTTGATTGCGAACGGTTTTGGAGTCAGAACATTTTTCTCTATATGTGTACCAAAAATCATTGATGTGCCACAAAAACAAAAAAACTGATTTTTTGGAAATGGAATATTAAAAAATTGGCAATATTGCCCATATATTTTCGTCACATTTTAAGTAAATGGTACACTAAAGGCCCATACCTAATCCGATTGATAAAAGTACAGAAATTTAATTGCTAGATATTAAAAATTAATACTCACTCTAAAAAGTGAACCAATAATCATAATATTTTGTAGGAAGATACCAAATTTACATCCAATTAAAAACCAGTAAGTAAAGTAGTAAAGTCGGACTGGGCCGACTATATGATACCCTTCACCACTTTGGGCATATTCTACATATGTATCCTAACAGACGTCGCGTTTTTGTTATACATCTATATCTGAACCGATTTCAGTAAACTTGCGAGAGACTTATTTATATCACTTCAGTACGGTGTGTCAATCGGCCTAGTTATGGATCTTTTCACGAAGCTTAGCAACATCATTCTAGACTTAATTCAGTACCCTATACAAAAATTCGTGCAAATCGAAAGATATATCGGGACTTTGGTGCACCAATTACAATTAATCGGACGAAAATATATATGGGAGCTATATCTAAATCTGAACCGATTTCCACGAAACGTAACACACATCATTCTAGACTTAATTCAGTACGCTATGCCAAATTTCGTGTAAATCGAAAGATATATAGGGACTTTGGGACACAATTTACCTTAAATCGGACGAATATATAAATGGGAGCTATATCTAAATCTGAACCGATTTTCACCAAACTTTGCACACATCATTCTAGACTTAATTCAGTACGCTATGCCAAATTTCGTGCAAATCGAAAGACTCTTACTTTAAATCGGACGAAGGTATATATGGGAACTTTATCTAAATCTGAACTGATTTTTCCGAATTACAATAGGGTTCGTCCTTGGGCCAAATAAGTGACCTGTGCCAAATTTCATCCAACTCGGATCATGAATGCAACCTGTACTTTGTTTACAATTTAACATGGACGGACAGACGGACGGACATAAATCGACTCAGAAAGTGATTCTATGCATATTCCCAAAAAGAACCATGGGTCTATCTCGATTATTTTTGCCTGTTACAAACATATGCACAGTGTGGTGAAGGGTATAATTAAACAAAATTGAGGAAAGTATGCAAATGATACCCCTCACCCCATTGAGTCTCAATCAGCCGATTTTAACAAAAGCCGATACACGTCATTCCACTACGGTTACGGTTTAAAAAATTTCATCAGAATCGAAGAAACGTTGGAAACGTCAGATCGGTCGGTAATATATACGTTTTTCATTTCCGACCCTATATATTCTGATCAACATAAAATTCTATGACGATTTTGCCATGTCTGTCTGTCCCTCTGTTGTAATCACTCAAGCCTCTAAAAGAATTGAGATAAATCGCCAAAATTTTACACAGAGTCGTCTTTTGTCTGCTGGCAGGTTAAGTTCGATGTTGGGCTATATCGGTTCACGTTTAGGCAA